ATGCTAAACGACAAGATGGTGGCGTTGTTGACAATTGTCCGCCAATTGTTGCAAATTTGATAGTCAAACGGTCGTGGTCAGTGTGACGGTGGAGTCTCGGTGTAGACGGACGCGTGGCTAGCGAAGATCAACGTCTCCACTAGTCCACCAAGGCGCGCCGCAAAGGTAACCGCAAGAGGAAGCAACGAGGGACAGGGGAGATTGGAGGCAGAACACTCGCGTTCGCGTGCAGTTGGAGAGGAATTCGCGAGACGCTCGCGAGATGAATGTACCCATTGAACTATTGGAAATGTACACGGTAGGGAGTAGCGCTGTGCCGCGAAGCGCGAAGGAAGCTCATTGGCACAGCCATAACGTAATGTGGGCAGGCGCGTCATGGCGACGTGAGGGCAAAATCATCAGCAGCAGCAAAGGAGTAGTAGTTCGTCGTAGCCCATGGTAAGCGCGTGTACGTGTAGTTGAAGCTGTACGCAAACTTCAACTAGCAAAGCTTGAGTAGCTTCGAGACTGGCAAAGTCCTCTTGGCACGACGCGCGAAACAGTTGACGATGGGAACGAGTGGTGATTGCGACGCTGATGCCAAGCCAAGCGATTCTAGAGGGTAAAGTGGTTCACTGAAGATTGCGCAAGCTGTAGTGCGAATCTGCCACGCTTAGCGAAGCGTCGCCTGCCCCTGCGCTGGGGGAGTGCAGAGTGGATTCGAGCAAAATGGCAGACGATGGCAGAAGCAATGCGGTGCAGGAGGCAGTCCAAGTGTACACGCGGAGAGCGACAGCGGAGGTAACGTCTGGGTGGGCAAGCGGATGACTATCAGAGGGAATGCTACGCTGATCTGACTGCTGTTGCGTGGTCGCAGGGCTTTTGGGCGGGTGGTGGGCGTTGTGGAGTTCTAGACATGTGGAAGCCGCGACAGGGCCGCGTCAACCCGGCTGAATTGGGTAAGCGCGAGTCGTCGTCGTCTTGCCCCATCCCTCAATCAATTACCCTCGTCCGCACCTGTCCAACCTACGATTCCACCACCTATCGACGACCAAAACCGTGTCTTCCAGCGCTGCATAGCCGCCTGCAACGAGAGAAAGAGACCTTCGACCTCTCTTCGCGCCCACGACCAGCAGAATTCCCAGAATATCTGCCTGTGGCTATCTCGTTGCTGCGCCGCTGCCATCATCGGGCTGTGCACTGCCAATCCGCAGCCTGTCGACCACGCTATACACCCACGACGCCCCGTCACCCCGACACCAACACCTGAACACCCATCACCGCGCACAACGACATCGCGACTGCAGCTCGCACCTGCCCACGATGGAATACAATAACAGCGCCCACCGCGCTCACCAACAACAACATGTCGACGCTGACAGGCTGGCTGCTGAGATGACGGAGCAGTTTCGTCACGTCCTCAGCACAAAGCGCATGAACGAACTCACATCACGATCATCGCAGTCACGCTCCTCATCGCCAGCACCCAGGGATTTCGGAACCCCCCAGCCGCCGCCATCGCAGTCTGCCCCGCCGACGTACGCTTCCATCAAGAACATTCCGCTCGTCCCTGAGGCGCCCCGTGATGCGCGATCGCTCCGCTTCAAGAACATGCTGCATTCGCTCTCCAACATGCCCGTACGATGGGAGAACCCTGGACTACTCGACGAGGCCCTTCGCGTCATCCCGCTCGAGCAGATCTACAACGAGGCCGAAGAGGAGAGCCAAATACTGCAGGCCGAGGGCGAGAGCATGGGAAAGAAGGCTGCCTGGGGCTACCAAGACTGCGTCGTCCGCGCACTCCTCCGATGGTTCAAGCGATCCTTCTTCTCTTGGGTCAACAACCCGCCGTGCTCGCGATGCTACTCACCAACCGTTGCCGTTGGTATCACACCACCACTCCCTGACGAACAAGCCCGCGGCGCCAACCAGGTCGAGGCTTACCAATGCTCGCACGAGGGCTGCAAGAACTACGAGCGCTTTCCACGATACAACGACGCATTCGTCCTTTTGCAAACCCGCAAAGGTCGATGCGGCGAGTGGGCCAATTGCTTCAGCATGCTCTGCCGCGCTGTCGGGTCAAGAGTACGCTGGGTGTGGAACGCAGAGGACCACGTCTGGACCGAAGTCTACTCTGTGCACCGCAAGCGATGGGTCCACGTCGACGCCTGTGAAGAGGCATGGGACAAGCCCCGGTTATACACTGATGGTTCGTTGCTTCCTGCATATCCATCTCCTTCATCTACTAACAGAGTTTTTAGGCTGGGGCAAGAAGCTCTCATACTGCATCGCCTTCTCGGCTGATGGCGCCATGGACGTCACTCGCCGATACGTCCGCGATGCTAAGCACGCTGCCGAGCGCAACCGCGCACCAGAGGCAGTTCTTCTCCACATCATGGACGAGATCCGAGCAACACGACGCGCCAACATGTCCAAGCAGGACAAGTTCCGCCTACAAGGTGAAGACATCCGCGAAGCCAAGGAGCTCCGTGCCAGCGTCATTTCATCAATTGCACACGCCGTCAGCAAGCTCAGGCCTGAGGACATCATCAATGCCCAGGTCACTCGCCGCCTAGACCCAGATGCCCAAAAGGCATTGGAGGGCCGTATGAGCGGCAACGCTCAATGGATACGAGCACGCGGCGAGGGTGGACAACAACAGAACCAGCAAGACCCCCGAAACCAGCATCCGCGTTGAACTCATCGGCGACCCCACCTTTCATTCATCACACCCGGTATCTTTCCATCGCGCCATGCCTACAACGTAAGCCGAGTCTAGCGACAGTGCACTGCACCTAGCTCTCGAGCATGTAGAGTTCGATAGAAGCCGAGATACCCATCCGACATGGCCCCGCGACATTCGTTACGCGGACGACACTCCCGCCTGTACAAACATAGAGCCTGGGATTCATCGTCATTTCGATTCATTTGCGCTGGCGTTCCAGGCGCAACATCCAAGAGACATACGCGATAAACTCTAATGTCTGCACCTACCTCATCAGAGGCTTTTCCTATTACTTTGGCATCACTTTGGCGACCGATTTTCGTTGCTTCACTGCATTCTTCACTTCGACTTCTTTGTGTGCACGCGGGGGTTTGCGGCACTGTTTATACCATTTTGCCATTTTGGTTTACGATTTGCGATATCTCCTATGTCTTTTCTGTATGTTTACGAGCATTTTGGCACTTTGTACGCACGACGTATGAGGTTTCACGTTTCAGTCATCCGTCGCAATACTGCTGGCACTTTCAGAGAAGGATGTGTTGTACACGGGCGGTGTGGGGATCCGTGGCATAGAGACTGTTGTGGTGGTGTGTAAGAGGGGTTGACGCGCGTCCATAGCGCCCAAGATACAGGGCTTGCTGCATGGTTTAGTGCAATAGCATGCAAGATAGAAATCCAGAGCCAAGATTGGCGATGTTTCTGCAAACCACATGCACTGTTTCCACCCATTTTCCACCTCAACAAGTTGCGTGATTGCCCGACTAGGGTGAAAGCTGATCAAAGTCGGTAGGTGAAAGATTTGCGGGGACGCGCGTTAAGAGTACGCAGGCTGGGCTTAGTGCAGACGCGGTAACCGCAGTCGATACACTGCCAACACACGACGACAATGCTCAATGACTATAAAATAAGGTGCTTCGAGTCTTTGGAGCAAGAGATAGAGCATGCGCCTTGTAAAGCTTATGAAAATCACGTTGTTGGAGTATTATAGCGAGCTTCTCTCGATCACGTTTGCTTCCTGCACCTGGTCAGGAACACGGGAAAGAGATCTCCAGGGTCCATCCATCAACGTTGAAACATGCCCTTTTCAAACGTCCGTCAAACAAGATGAAGAAATCATGATGCAAGCAAAGCAAACGTCATATATAATGATAACGAGTTTCATCTGTATCATTCTGTTCGCACTTGAGGATGAACGGTATTATGAATCAGCTACGCAAGTGAGATCAGCATCGTCAGGCGGGCCGTTCGTTTCTCCAGCTCTTGCCTAAACAAGTTAGCAGGCGCTGCTGCGCACAAGAGTCTAAAAATAACCCGTTCTCTGATATGTGATGACAGTCAGGCCGCTTTTCGCCAAGCAAAACTTGAGTTTGCTGACGAGGAACCATGAGGCTCTGCAACTGTGCCTCAACTCTGAAAAGTTTTGACTGCTCTAATGAGGAAACACTGGTTCAAGAGTCTTAGCGCAAAGCGCGGAAGAACGACGGCAGTACCTCGCACAATTACCAGACACCACTGCCTTGGGAGCAGTCTAGGCTGGAGACGTGTCGGGTGGGGTTGCGCCGGGCTGACGGTATCCTTGAGGGCTGAAACGCCTATATGAGGGTTCGTACTGTGAACAATTGTGTATATGCTTGGGTCAATCTTGGAGATGGGTGAGATAAGAACGAGATGATGAAAGATCGCGAGTAAACACGTTACTATGGTGATTGTAAAAGTAGTACTCAGATGGCACTGCATGTCCTCAAGACCGATATACCACCGCACTCAGGCCCAGCAACGCGCACACTCGTCGGCAGTGCTTCTGCGCATGCCAACAGCACACACGCCCTTATCCTACACAGCATAGTTGTGTCAGTCAGCACTCTTAGTGTCTTAGCTCATCAAAATCCACAACCGTCGCAAGCCCGCTGAGGCTGGTGAAGGCTAACCCAGGATCCGCCACTTGGATCCCGCCGCGCACAGACCGCCAGACCCCCAGCTGTGTGGCCGCTCAGCCCCCTTCGCCTGGGCACATTGCCTTGCGCATTTCAGCTGCCGTGTTTGAGGCAGTTTGCAGTTTGTACAAAAGCTCGTGGCGACCCGCACATTGTCATACATATATCGTTCTGTCGTTTGACGTATAGCCTGGTTCACCGACTCATATCCACGGGCGACCCAACCACGACCACGGATTCACGATCGCTACTTCCCGTCTGTCAATTGACGCTGCTTCCTGAGTGACATCAGTCAGCCTTGCTTGGCTTACCACAACACCTACACCACCACCACAACAACAACACCAACAACAACCGCAAATATGGGCAAAGTCGGGCGCTTCGCGTGTATCCTCACGCCTATGTGCCTTACTCTCGCATCTTTAATATGCTTCGTCATTGTCATGCTCGGTCAAACGCCATGGTCGGGCAATAAAGCACCAGCAACAGCCTTGGGGCGCGATCTATACTTCTTCAAGGTATGCCTCACCACAACCCTACAAGCCTACTTATCTAACATACACGGTACAGGCGAATACTGGAAACATTACAGCCGACCCTGACACCATCGCCGACAAGATCCCCGAAGGCATCACACCAGACGCCGCAAAAGAGTTTCTCGACGCTCTGAAGGGCAAGCTCTCCTCGAAGGAACTCAAGGACTTCTACCAGGTCGGCCTCTTCTCCTACTGCGAGGGCGACAAGGATGCCGAGTCTGGCGAAGAAAAAATCACATACTGCTCTGCGCGCAAGTTTCAGTTCCACTTCGATCCCCTGGCTATCTGGCAGATGAACAACACCAACATTCAGGAAGTTCTTGGCGATAAATATGACAGTGGTATGAACGCATACAAGAAGGCTGCTGGCTGGATGAACTGGGCTTTTGTTGTCACCCTGGTTCTTACCGCTGTGGAGTTTGTGGTGGGCTTCTTTGCCATCTTTTCGAGATGGGGTAGCCTTGTTACCACTGTTATCTCTACCGTGAGTCTTTCCTCTCTTTCCTCCTAGCCAATCCCACTCTAACATCACATAGGCACAAACCATCTTCCATCCTTGCCGCCGCAACCGCAACCGCAATCTATGGTACCATCACCGGTGTCTTCAAGACCGTCCTCGAACCCTACAACATCGGTTCCTCCATGGGCAGCCAGATGCTCTCCGTCCTCTGGCTTGCCGTCGCCTTCTCCATTGGCTCCGGCTTCTTCTGGCTCATCAGCGTGTGCTGCTGCAGTGGAAAGAGCGGCCATAAGAAGATGGTCGTCGAGAAGACCCCTTACACATACGAGAGGGTTGCCAGCCCGGCATTTGGCCAGAGCGGGCACCAGATGTCAAGCTGGCCCAAGAGCCAGCAGGACCCACCCAAGATGGGACAGCCGACGGCTTATGAGCCATTTAGGTCGCGCGTCTAAGTCTGAGGACAAAGGCACTGCGTGGATTGAGACGTTTTGGAACGTACCGTGGAAGTAAGAACGCGCGAGTTCTTTAATGACATGTACGACCATCTTTGCGGGAATTTATCTGGGTACTATATATACCCCAACGGCGTTTGTTCCTATAGCATCGTTATGGATACGGCCCCCTGCGGCTTGAGGGCGTTTGGATAGCTTTGCACATATCGATATGAATCAACATCAATTATCCAAGTCTCTAACTTCTCTGTCGATCATCCTTTAGCGTTGCTGGCATTGTTCGCGTTCATTCAAGCGCAGTAGTATCGTAAGTGAACGAAAGTCTTATTACACACCTTAATATCTACTGTCTGCCATTCAAATGCTCTCAACCCGACATACAAACAAACTACCCCTTGTTTCCCAACTTCGTAACGATAACAGGTAGCACTGCGGCGCAGCACGCAACCATATAAGCACTCACACCAAAGGCTCCTTGGATGTCGTACTGGAACTTTGACCAAAGCACACCAAAAAGCAGACTAGCTACGAGAAACACGATTAGAATAGTCCATGCGAGCATATCGCCATCTAAACCTTCGTCGTAATAGATTCCCCATCCCTCGGCAGGCTGCCCAATCTGGCCTTTCAGTTCACCACACGTACGTTTCGGAAGCTGGTCCAGTATCCAGGTGTCCTTCTCGTGTACATCTGTTGGACATGTGAATAAGCTTGCAAGGTAAACTGGTGGGATGGGTGGGCATGTGGCAGGCGGGCCAGGTATACATCGATATTCTGCTCCTGGAGAAGGCTCGACCTTGGGTGGTGGCGGTATGCATTCGCAGGTTTTTGGACCTGTGGTGTCGGCAACGCAGCATGGATCGTGGTGGCGTACGTCTACGCTGCCGCCGATTGGGAGGCGGAATTTGACGAAGGAGATGCCTTTTACGCTTTGCAGGGAGAGGGCGTGGAGAAAGCGACCTCGATGGAGGCGGTATTGTTTTCGAAGGAAGCATAGTAGTGCGCGATCGGTAGTGATGTCCTCGATGCGATCTTGCTTTAGATCCTTTCTAAGGCGGTTGCGGTGCATGCAAGCGAGAAGATGGAGGATGCCACGTTGAGGTGGTGGAGCATTGGCGGTCGTGGTTGAAGTACATGATGTGTTGTGCTGGGGAAGGCAGGCTGCCGACTTCTTTGCTGAGCCTCCAAAAATCGATGTGAATGCCTTCTGGATCCACTGTGTTGGGTTTGGCATCACATATTTCTGGTTTCCCGACTGGTGACTATGAGGCGATGCCAGCACTTTAGCACCGGAGGTACGTTGCATATGGCTGGTGAGCTCCTCTACGCCGCCCTTGCGAAGCTCAGAAACATCACTGTGGAGGGAGTCTCCGCAAGCCTATTGCAACTTTAGCGTATGAATTGGTAGTAAGGAAGCGCTTTAGAGTAGAAAACACATACGCATTGCCATCGAAGGCGGACCATGTTCGGACTCAGAGGCGGCTCTAGTCGACCTGAAGCAACCAGAAGATCATCTGTTGCTAAGGAAATAGCATCCATCATAAGATGGAATAAGCTCGTTGCAGTAGTCTCAAGATAAGCACCGTGAAACAAACCATCGGTGCTTAGCTTTGCATCACGACACCATTTTTGCCAGGTCAAGACATTTCTATGTCCTGAGACTGCCTTCATCGGGACCGGCTTCATCGTCGTCGCGTTTGACGCTTCTCTTTTGCCGATAAGCTCTTCATGCGTCAGATGTATCGGTTTCGGTAGTACGAATGCCTCCAATTGATCGCGAAAAGTTCTGAATGCACCGCTTCCAACTAAGAACTCGCGAAAGATCGCAAGGTCCTCGAAAGCGTCCTCATTCACTAAATGTGTATTGGAACTATCATCTTCTTCATCAGAGCTTTCTTCGTTGCGCTCGCTGCGAGGTGATCGTGCGCCCACTTGGCCGTTTTGCAACTTCTCAACAATGGACTGTGCTAAGAAAGCCGACTTTATAAGGACGAGTCGCGATGATAGATACTCTAATCTTTCCGTGGCTTCGTTCTCCAACAGACCAGCGTATGCCCGGAAGAGTCGTCGGAGGTTTCTCTGTAGCCTTTCTGGTCCGATGTTCTCGTTTCCTATGGCGTTCTTATAAAGCGACAATAGCGTCTTGTCTTCATAGAAGACCGAGAGTAATACCTTGGTAGCTGTTGCGATTTGTACTGCAGAATATCCACTTCCTCTCGATATATCAGATGCCGAGGATGCTAAGGATGCCACGGAAAAGATTGAAACGACCGATGCCGCATAGGACGATGATCCAGATGCGGCACCATCATAGCCCGATCCAGAATAAACCTCGGATTTGTTGACTGACCTCGCACCCAACCAGGCTTTAATGTGATCATATTCACGGATTGAAAGAGCTGATTCATATCCTGAGTCAACGGTGTCGTCCGTCTGCACATCAGTCACCGACTTTTCTGAAGCAATTATACCTGTCGATCGATTCGAATCCGCCACTGGCCTTCGGTGCTTCAGATTCGCATCAGGATACTCCTCGACTTCCACCGCTAAGGATTCATTGTCACCGGGAGAGCCAACAACTGCGTCTATCTGCACCTCCCGGGATTTCTGTAGAACTTCTCCATCCCATGCGCTTAGCGTCGTTTGCTTTGTTTGTTTTTCTTCCACTTCCAACTCGGAGTCATCAGTCTTCTGAATCTTCCGGAGATCTTTTGAGACGGGACTCAACGGTACAGCTATGAATTCATTCAGTAAGGTAAGGACCTTCTTCACAAGAATGCAGAGTTGCTAACAATCAATCCAAACTGATGAGACTGACTGACTGACTGATTGCTTGGCAGTCAGTTCAGTGTCAGTTTAGAGCTCTCGTCTTATCAGTCAGTTCAGTTTAGAGCTCTTAAAC